TGGTTCAGGAAGCCTAGGAAGAAATCAAGGATCTACTTTTTTTTTTTTTGGTTTTTTTTTTTTTTTTTTTTTTTTTTTGGTTTTTTGAGACAGGGTTTCTCTGTGTAGCTTTGGTGCCTGTCCTGGATCTCACTCTGTAGACCAGGCTGGCCTCACAGAGATCCACTTGGCTCTGCCTCCCAAGTGTTGGGATTAAAGGCGTGTGCCACCACCGCCCAGTGGAATCTACTTTTTAATTGTAAGTTCTGTCCCTTATGGTTCCCTTGTTCTGTGAACTGTGCTGGTTAGCTTCGAGATTCGAGGTGGTGTTAGAGCCTCCTGACCTCTGGGTATTTCTGATACAGGAACACAAAGACTGCACACGGGAGAGGTTATAAGAAATGAGAAAGAAAGGGGCATCTTACAGGCAAAGGGGGGCACAATGAAGAGCATCTGCTTTGGGAAATGGAATGACGGTCACAAAGAAAACTGGGGACAGCTGGAGAAGGCCCTGAATGTCAACCGCTACACTAGAGGCTTTACTTAGCGCCTGTACTGGAAAGCAGCTAGCGAATGGTTTATGAAGAGAGAAAATAATGATAGCCACATTTTCTGTAAGAGTTCTCTCACAAAGCTGGGCAAGATCAAGTGGAATCAAAGTATCACACATCAAGACAGCTGGCCGACCACAGATCTAAGCCCCAAGAGAAAACTCGGGAGGCATCGCCTCAAAGGGCAGGAATGGCACCCCATGACAAACTGCATGTAGGGCACAGCTCAGGGTATTTTTTACCTACTAAACCCAAATCATAGCACTATCAGCTCCAAGGCACTTTTCAGAACTCTTCCTGGAGTATAGTTCAGTGGTAAACCATTTGCCTAGCATGGGTGAGGCCCTGGGTTCAATCCCTGATACTGGTGGCAGGGTGGGGAGGGGTGTATATGAGTAGTCTCTTATATAGCTGACCAGACCCAGAATCCATGAAACACACACAAAACACAGTTCAAGAATAAGATGTGTAGACAGGCCTGAGTAGCCCACATACATGTTATACCATTTAAATATCAAGAAACACACACACACACACACACACACACACACACACACACACACACACACACACAAGAACAACACAATCTCATTTGACCCAGAATCCTAACAAGTATCAAGCATCCAATTTCCAAACCCTCAGCAGTTTGGAAGCAAAACTTACAAGGGCAGAATAATCTTCAGTGGATTTGATGGTTAACAGAAGAAATAAACACTTAAAAAGGACACAGGATCACACCCAGTGAGTTCTCCAAAGTCATTTATTCACACATACAAATGATTCCCCCAAGATATGAAATGAGTGGGGATCTCCCTTAGTGATACAAATACTATTACAAAATGTTCTTTAAAACAAGCAATATCTGGCTGGTCAGAAGACACAAGGTTAAAAGATGGTTCACACATGCCAACATAACCCCTCTCAACAGCAGCCATGCCACAAGCCAACAACGAAGGCAGGAGGCCCATCGTATAAACCTCAGTCTGACAGTGACCTGTGCTTTCACACAGCATCTACTGAAGATGTGCTCCTCGGATGAGGTTTAACTTGGGTAACATTTTCCTGGTGACTGTGCCTCTGAATTCCATCTTCATCCACAACAAAAGCAACACTGTCAAGGTAGCCTTAAGCATATACATCCTGTCATCAGTTACTGAAATGAGGCAACATCCTGTGCCAGGCCACGTTATTGTGGGATTCCTGTACCCTGTGTGAAGATATATTACTGTGACTGGTTGACTGGTTTAATAAAGAGATGAACAGCCAATAGCTAGGCAGGAGGTATAGGCGGGACTTCCGGGCAGAGAGAGGAAGTAGGAGGAGATAATCAAGCACAGAGGAGATGTCAACAAGACATGGAAGAAGTCGGACATATAGAATGAAAGAAAGGTAAAAAGCCACATGGTAAGCCATAGATTAATAGAACGGGTTAATTTAAGTTATAAGAGCTAGTTAGGAACAAGCCTAAGCTATAGGCCGAGCTTTCATAAATAGTAAGAAGTCCCCATGTCATTAATTGGGAGCTGGCAGGACAGAGAAAGACTTGTTACACCACGTCCCACAGCAACAGGCTGTGTGACAACCTTCAAAGGAAGCAGCAACACATGAAGGGCCCCTTGCTCTGTTCCCCAACACTTATCAATGTTTATTAAGAATTAATACTGGCCAGGTGGTGGTGGTGCACGCCTTTAATCCCAGGACTCAAGAGGCAGAGCCAGGCGGATCTCTGTGAGTTTGAGGCCAACCTGGTCTACAGAGGGAGTTCCAGGACAGCCAGGGCTACACGGAGCAACCCTGTCTCGAAAAACAAAACAAACAAAAACCAAAAAGAATGAATATTGTTTCACCACTATTCTAAGGATTTCATCTATTTTGTGCGATGCGTTTGCAGATGTGCACACGTGTATGAAGGCCAGTCATGGATGTCAGCTATCTTCCTGATGTTTTGAGACAGTCTCTCACCAAACCTGCAGCTCACTGATTCAGTACCTGGGATCTTGCTGTTTTGACTCCCCAAGGCTGGGATGACAGGTATGCCACCACAGCCAGCTTCTTTAGGAGGGCGCTAGGGAACACAGGTCCGCACATGTGCATGGCAAGCCGTTCACCTACTGGGCTACCTCCCAGCCCTTCATCTCTTCTGTAAACATTGAAAAAGTGTCTTCATAGGAGAAATGTAGGTATTCCCTAACCGAAGTTATCCTCAATTCTGATCGTTTAAATGTATACCAACACGTGAGCTTTATATATCCTTATGTAGACAGAAAGCAAGTCCATCATCTAAAAACTACTAAAGAGCTTGAGATGGTATCAAACAGCAGAAAGGCAGATCAGTCTTTTTTCCTTCCTCTCTTCCTTTCTTTCTTTTTTAAAGACTGATTTTATTTTTACGTGTATATCTGTGAGAATATGCCACATGTAGGTGCCCACAGAGGCCAGAGGAAGGTTATGGATCCCCTTGGAACTGGAGTTCCAGGCAGTTGTGAGCCCCCTGACCTGAGTGCTGGGAACTAAACTCTGGTCCTCTGGAGAGCAGGGGCTCTCTCCAACTCCACAGTTGTAGCGTTTTTACTACTGGAACAGAAAAATAAAATGCCTGTTAAGTATGACATAAAGATAAAGTGGCTGAATGGAACTAGGCCTGATGTATTTACCAGGCACAGCAAAGGCTAGAGAAAATAAAGACATGCCTGCACCTAATTTCAGCAAAAATTAGCATTATAGAAGCCAGGAAGTGGTGGCATATACCTTTAATCCCAGCACCTGAGAGGCAGAGGCAGGCGGATCTCTGTGAGTTCAAGGCCAGCCTGGTCTACAGAGTTAGTTCCAGGACAGCCAGGGCTGTTACACAGAGAAACCCTATCTGGAAATTTTTTTTAAAAAAAATTAGCATTATGGTACTTCAGGAAATGGGTCAAACACGTGATAATACTAGTCAACAGAAGCACTCAGCTGCCCCATCCGACGAGAACACAGACTGGGAGCGACACCTGCCCCCCAGAAGCTTACAGTATAGGGACCCTGACTAACCAAAGAAATATGCCTAAAAATGACATTTTTTTCTAACCACAAATTATGACCTGTGAATCGATTTCATGGAATTCCAGTCAGCATTTTCTTTCCAGTGAAAGAAAGTGGACTGTAACAGAATCAGCAGAAGGCACCTAACAAGGGTAAACACTGCTGTGTGAAACTGGACATGGTGCCTCGTGCCTTTGAGCTCAGCCCCGGGGAGGCTGAGACAGGAGGAGTAGAGTGAGTAGCAGGCTAGCCTGAGCTACAGTGAGTTCAAGGCCAACCATACCAAGAGATCCTGCATCAGAACACAACACACACACACAAAGACACTCCTTTGTGAAACTTCACATTCATATGTAGGTGTATGTACTAGATCACAATGTCCTTATTACTGTGAGGCTTTTGGTTGTTCCTAAGTTAAAAAGTCATTACATAGAGAAGAAGACTCACAGCCAAAGGATCCAGGCTGACTACCCATACTTAGTCCTTAGGCCCTGCTCAAGCTCTCTGCTTAAGACAAGCCTATGGAAACCTACTCAAGAGCTACAGAGACAGACACAGACACAAAGAAGGAACACAGCAGGGGTAGGCCCAGCCAAGCCTGTGCTTGCCCGGGAAGGCCTTCCCACCTTCCCCAAACAATCTGTTCAAGCTCTCTTTGCTCAGGATGGACCCATGGAAACCTATTTAAGAGCTCCTTGGCACACACACAAAAATAGAACAGAGACAAGTCCCAGCCAAGCTCTTAGCTGGCCTTGAGGTCCTGCCAGCCCTAAGAGGGTGCCTACAAACCCGTGTAGCTAAGCAACCTTGGAGTGAAGCTCCTCCTTCCTCCACAGTCTGTCAACAGTTCAACTCTTCCAATCAACTTTCCTCAACTACAACTTCTGCAGCCGCTGCCTGTGTCCCTATGGGGCAACTCTTCCCTCCCTTAAATCCCAGACTGTCTCCCTATTAGCAGTCCCAGAAGCCTGTACTCTCCAATCTCAAAACACAGCTCACCACAGATCCTTTCACACCATTCCCAGGAAATCAAGATGAGGGTCTCCTGGCAGCTCTCCCAATCTCACTACGACTTGGGGCAAAGATATGCTCCCCAAATTCCTATCAAAGTATGTGCTTTGAGAAGTCCTGGTAGGGACAGGCCTAGTAACCCAGGAGTGTAGGACCAGCTGCTCTTTCCTAGTAAGACACCAGACCCTACCGATGAGGACACACGTTTTTCTGATTCCGTGATCTCAAAGCTAAGTTTCCCACCAAGGGAGCATCTGCCATACCCCAGGCCTCAGGGAGTCTGGGAGCATCCTGGCTTACTCCCACTGCCCAGCCTCCCTCTGTCAATGCTCCGTCCTCCCGGGGTCCCAGGCCTGGCCTCCTACCCCCACTGCCCCCCTTAGGAGAGCACGCCTCGGGCCTCTGGCCCCAGCGGAGCGGCGGCCGAGCTACACTCACCCCTCGGCCCGGGAGGCGGCGGCTGCTCCGGCTGCGCCTCCGCCCGCCCGGCCACCGCCGTCGCCTCCGCTCGGCCTCCGGCCTGCTCCCGGCCGGCCCCGGCCCGGCTCCGCTTCACCTCGACCCCCTCTCCGGCCGCCAGAGCCCAGTGTCCTGCATTGACCCGGAAGCAGCTTTCGAGGGGGCCCCCCAACAACAACACGTGACCCCGCCGCACGTGTCACGTCCGCTGCGTGATTGGGAGGGGCCGGGCGCTGAGCCTCCTAGACCAAGCTGCGGTTGCCATGGCAACCGGGATGGTGGTATCCACCTAGACATCAGACATGCACTCTGTCGGCTTGCTTTTCTTACTGGCGCACTAGGGGACCACCCCCCCAACCCCCCAGGTCCAAGGACCGATCGCTTGCAAGGGAAATGTCTTCGGGGAAAGGATCCCTTGGACTGAACCCGGCCAAACACACCTGCAATCTTGGCCTGTCTCTGTGTGACCCTCACTATTTGTGACACTACCTGTCGCTGACTTCACTGACCTCATCTATAAAATGTGCTGTAAGCTCTCTATACTTCATAAGCATCTAGGTGTGGGGACAGTCTGACCTTTGTTCTGTGCCCCCTCCAGTCCTGCGGCACCTGGAACTTTCAACAGTAACAGTTAACAGCTTTCGCCTACTGAGTGCTTTATTACCCACAGCCACTAAACACATGAGATTAAATAATAATAATAATAATAAGAGCCGGGCGGTGGTGGCGCACGCCTTTAATCTCAGCACTCGGGAGGCAGAGGCAGGCGGATCTCTGTGAGTTTGAGGCCAGCCTGGGAAAGGCTCCAAAGCTACGCAGAGAAACCCTCTCTCAAAAAACAAATAATAATAATAATAATAATAATAATAATAATAATAATAATAATAATAATAATAAATGAATAAATAAACGAAAACTTCTGCAAAGCTCCTAAAGGAGATATTTTGTAGAATTGAAACTTGAAGTTGGGAGTCCAGTGATCTGTCAAGACCACCTGCTTAGTCAAAATAGCCAGGCTGAGACTAGAAGCCCGGTCAAGCTAGCTCCAAAGAACATGTTTCACACCAGGCCATGCTTAGCCCCAGCTCCGGAAGCCTCACACCTGGATGCTGGGCTGTTTGCTTTTGTGTTTTCTCTGTCCATTTCTTCAAAGAACACTCCTGTGGAATGGAGATGGTACAGGCTGATCCTGAGGAGGACTCAGCCTTGCACAGATACATGAGTGGAAATTCTAGGAGTTGAAGAGATCTCTATGCACGAAGTCCATGTGCATTTGTGCAGTGTGTGTCCAGGAAGATGTGGGGGAATGCTATGAACAACGTATATGAATATATTGATATTTTCCTAGAGAGAGGAAAAGAATCTTGAGGTAAATCCGAGTATAGCTTACCATCCTCAGTCCCTGGGAACTTAAATTGGTTATTTTCTTTTGTTTTGTCTTGTCCCATAGGTGGGACTTAGGCTGGAGGGAGACACGAGAAGGACCTGGTTAAGGAACGAGTTCCAAGGACAAATGAGTCAGGCAATGAGTGGGCTTACAGAACTCAGAAAGGTGATTAACTCCAGTCCAGGAAAGCACTTTACTTACGAAAAGTAACGACTTTGAGGGACTGGGGTCATAGGCAAGACCACAGCTAAAAGCAACCTCCGTGGGGAGGATCATGCAAAGAGCAGAGGGACCTGGGGGACCCTGTGAAGAGCAGAGGGAACTGGGGGACCCTGTGAAGAGCAGAGGGACCTGGGGGACCATGTGAGGAGCAGAGTGACCTGGGAGACCCTGTGAGGAGCAGAGGGACCTGGGAGACTCTGTGAGGAGCAGAGGGACCTGGGGGACTGTGTGAGGAGCAGAGTGACCTGGGAGACCCTGTGAGGAGCAGAGTGACCTGGGGGACCGTGTGAGGAGCAGAGGGAACTGGGAGACTGTGTGAAGAGCAGAGGGAACTGGGAGACCCTGTGAGGAGCAGAGGGACCTGGGGGACCGTGTGAGGAGCAGAGTGACTGGGGGGACCCTGTGAGGAGCAGAGGGAACTGGGGGGGGGGGGGGCGTGTGAGGAGCAGAGTGACTGGGGGGACCGTGTGAGGAGCAGAGGGAACTGAAGACAGAGGAAGGACAGGGGCAAGGGTCTTCCCTCTGGAAACTCTGCTCACATACGTCTGCCTAAATACCCAGATGACAAACCTGCTTAGGAGTTGAAGTTCTTCAGGGAACACTCGGAAATACTTAGAGAGATAGTACCTTGTGAGCACCTAGGGGAAGGTAAGAGCTATAATTCATTACTATGAACAAATCCTGCTGCTGTGACTAGAAATACACATTGATATTGAATGTGAGAACCTCCTTAGAGAACAAACTTAGAGATTTATGTTTCTGCCCATCTCCTCTCTATCTGCCCACAGCAGCCAGAATCCTCTTTATAAAACTTGATGCGAATTGTATAGCTCCCTGGAGCTTAAAACCCTTCCTGAGACTCCCAGTGGCTCTTCTTCATCTCAGCACAACGCCCACAACCAACAACATGGCCCTTAGAGTTCTTTACAACTTTCCCAACCTCATCTCTTGCCTGTCTCCTGTTACTCTACGGCTACTCCATTCAGTCTGCTAGCCATCAGCTATATGTGGCTATTTCATTTTGTTTTTCATTAAAATCAGGGAGTTAGAGGTATATCTCAGTTGGTAGAATGCTTGGCCTGTGTGCAGCTGCAGCAAGCGCTGGATTCAACCTAGGTGTGGTGCTCTACACCTGAATCACCAACCATCGGGAGATTGTAGCAGGAGCATCAGGCATTCAAGGCTGCCCATAATGAGTTTGAGGCTAGCCTAGGTGACTCAAAAATTTAAAAAATTTAAAAACTAAACGAAGGGCTAAGGATGTAGATCCCTTGTAAATCCCTTGCCATGCTGTCCAAGACTTTGCTAGAATCCCAGAACCAACATATACGCATGCACATACGTGTGCGCACACACACACACACACACACACACACACACACACACCACAACTTAAGTCAAATGAAGGCTTCCCCAGTCACACAACGCTAGTATCATTTGGAGCACTATCATCACATGTGGCTACTGGGTATCATATCAAACAGTTCACATATGGAATAGTTTATCATCACAGAAACTTCTAGTGGGCAGTGACACTCCCACCAGAAAATCTCCATATGCCTTGCTTTGTAGGAATTCTTCTGCTAAGCCATTTGATCGAAACATTTCTATCTTTTTTGGTGGAAAATTGCACATAATGGCTTGTATGTTATAAGAATGTAAGCATCAGTGGAGGAAGGAGCTAGGTGGATGCCGTGTGGGCCTCAGTGGAGGCTGGAGTTAGTTTTGTGGTATTCATCATCCATTTCCCATCATTCTTAAAGGATCATCATCTAGGAAGGAGTAGGCGGGCACTGGGCCAAGATGAAAGGAAAAAGTAATAGAAGGACAACTATCTAGTCATTTTATTAGAAATGGTGGATACTTTGATCATTTTGATCTAAAAACAGCAATTCCATAAAGTTCAATCTAATAGTAAGAGAAAGTTAAGGCTGGCTATGTGATCCATGTCTGTAACCCTAGGGCTCAGGAGGCTGAAACAGGAAGATTATCATGAGTTTGAGCCTAGCCTGAGCTACAGAAAGGCATAATAAAGGAAGAAAGAAGGGAGGGAGAGAGGGAGGGAGGGGGAAGGGAAGGGAAGGGAAAAGGGAAGGGAAGGGAAGGGAAGGGAAGGGAAGGGAAGGGAAGAAGGGAAGGGAAGGGAAGGGAAGGGAAAAGGGAAGGGAAAGAAGGAAGGGAAGAAGGAAAGGAAAAAGGGAAGGGAAGGGAAGGGAAGGGAAGGGAAGGGAAGGGAAGAGAAGGGAGGGGAAGGGAAGGGAAGAGAGGGGAAAGGAAGGGAAGGGAAGAAGGGAAAAGACTTGGAAAAAATGGAGTTGTTTTTGTCAGTTCTTACAAATTCCTTGTGGTTTATGGGTTAAACAAAAGCAGAGTCTGTCCTAACAGTGTGTGGTAATTCCTGGAGCAGCTGGTCTGATTGACCAGTTGGTTCTCTGATTCAGGATTTGCCATGCCCTAAGAGCAGTCTTAACCGTTTTCTGAGTTCTCCCTGTATCAGCTGCTGCTGGAGGTATTTTAGATTGATTTTTCCCTTTTAATCCTCACAATGATCTCATGCAGTACATCTGGTACTATCAGATCTATCAATAGAGACGCACCCACCAACACACGGATAGTAATGGAGAGGCCAAATTCATACTGAGGTCAGTCTGACACAGGAGTCTGAGTTCCTCATCACCCTGTAATGATGGGATAGCATTCCATTGCGAAGTCTCAGCCAGATGTTTGCATGTTCTTTTGATTCAGCAAATGCATATTGTATAGTCATTGTGTATCTGTGTCTTAGATGTAATGAGGTGGCTTGAGGCAAACAAATATGGATCTGGCAGGGATGCTACAGTGTGGTTAAAAAATAATATGCATACACAAAAATTGATGCAGCACAATAAAGGAATAAAGGTATGTTGTTTAGTTTTATTGTTGTTCGTCCTGTATTTTATTTTATTGGGGTATGGTCTTATTCTGTAATCTATGCTAGCCTCAACCTCACAATCCTCTCATGTCAATCAGCTTCCAGCATATTGGATTACAGGTGTATAGCACCACCCCTGGAAAGGATGTTAGATTTAAAGAGAGTAAGGGGGTCACACTTGCAGCTAAAAGCTTTTCTCATGTATGCAGTGGGATAATGCAGGGTAACACAGTGTATCAGTGTGGAGACAGGAGCATGGAGGGAAAAAAGCAGCTACCTGACCTGAAAAAATAATAAGTGGTGGGGAAAGTAGTTTTTAATATCTGCCCTGGTTTTTCCACTAGCCAGGTATGTCTCTTGAACTCTTGGCCTTAGACCATTAACTACTGAATAGCTTGAGTTGGATAAACTACCAGCATAGAGCACCCAAAATGATGTGTAATACTTGCATTTTTATATTGTATACGTTGGACAGATATGTGTTTCCATCAAACTCACACAAATTCTGGCTCATCCTACCACATGTCTCTTTCAATTTTTCAATTCTTTGGTTCTACATTTTGTTTGTAAAAACATAACTGATGCCAGGACAGTTGCTACTCAAGAGATTGAAGCAGGAGGATCACAAGTTC